GAATGCCAATCAGCACGATCAGCGCAATGACAGCAACGGATACAATGATGCGTGACTTTGATGAGGATGACGTTGTAGAGTTCATGCTGTAATATGAAGCTAAAGTCAAAAGCGCCCCGCTTAAATACCCTAGTAATTACGTTGATTGGTGCGATTTTTTTAACTAAAACTCATTAAAATTCAAAATTCTATTGGATGCTTTCCAGTAGCCTCGGCAGGTTGATAGGCACGAAGCAAAAAATGTGTTTGCATTGGTCAGCTCTAAATTAATTATCTTTTTTAAATTTTGACATGCACGATTAACCAATACAGCGGCCTTTCAAAGCTTGTTCAGTTTCTAATAAAAGTTCGAAATTAACGTTCGCCAGCGCAAATGATTTGCAATGTTCAGATGCCAGATCTGATTTAATGTGCGCTCGAATTGAATTCCAAATCGCCATTATAGAGGCAAAGTCGCTCTTGGACAAATCTCTAAAAAGAGGATTTGTTCCATCAGTGCTTAGTAGTATCATCCTAATAAGCGCACATATTCGTGAAGTTAAGATAGGATCCACATTTTGGGATGCGTTTCTTCCAGATATGAGGCAATCTAAGGCTAGGAGAGGTTTTCCAATCATTAGCAATAGTAATGAGAGGCATTTTTGTACATTACAAAATACTTGAGCATCCATAGGATGCTGAACTGCTTTAATGATCTGGATAATAAGTGACTGGATAGCATGTTCAGAACCATCAAGAACCAACGAAGGAAGTGCTGATGAGATGTAGAAGGAAATTGATTGGAAACATTCATGGTTGTAGTTATGATTGTATAAAAGAGCTGCCAAGGAAAGAATGGGAGGCTCAAGAGCATTTGTAGGTGCGGCACCTATGTTTTCATCAAGCAGATCCGCAAATGTACGACCGATGGGGTTGGAAAACATGATTGCCAAAGCGTCTCCTTCATTGCCATCATTATAAAAGCTGCAAAATAAGCGCAATTTTTCAGAACCGCATATTGGGTCGTCATAAGTAGTTGTACCCAGGGTTTCCATGGCCATAGATGAATAGCCGAGGCCGCCGCCAGAAAAGCATTCCTTATGGATCCAAAGCTTTTGGGGCAGCGAAGAGGAATTTTGCATCCACTTGTAATCAGATTCACTCAAAAGGGGCTCGATGGACGCAAAATAAATGTCAACCCAATCTTTATATGCCGAGTGGAAGTGTGGAAATTTGATGCCTGAGATATCCCCAACAAATCTACGACTTTTCGCACATTCAAGTGATAGAAACTCAAACTCAAACTCAAGATCAAGATCAAGATCAAGTTCATCTGTGACACTTTGCTTCTCATCCATAGAATGGCTAAAATTCGAAAAATATGGGCATTGACGTTCAAGATCTTCACTGGTCGTTGGATGCGCAATATATTTAGAATGGAAAGCTAGTCGAGGCGGATGTAAATTCCTGTACCTCGTGGTATTCCATTCATGCTCGCAAGATTTATTTCCATAACAATCTTTAAATTTGAGCGAAATGTCTGTAGCTTCAGAGATAGTGGATTTAGCCGACTCAGAAGATGGAGGCGGCATATTAAAGGTACTGTCAAACTTCGAAACAAGTTCGGGATTAATGGATGTTTCCAGAGCATAAGATGAGGGATTCAAAGAAAGCCCCATTTTCGGACAAGAGAGATCTTGCCCAAAGATTGAAGAGTACAGTTTGGCAATTGGAGCCTTCGAGGCAGCCGCCGCATGGCAATCGCTCGACTCCATCATCAAAAATTGCATACCCTCAAATCAAAATGATCACTCAGGAGTTTAAACTTAAATTGCAACCCGAAATGAGCCCAATGGTAGGAATCTTTTAATAGCCTGTAAGTTTGAATAGGAGTTTATTAGCTACGCGCGCTGATAGCAGATAGATCCTCAGGCGGCCACGAGGGGGTCCCAAGCTCCTTCAAAAAGCCTTCAATGGCGGATATCCAACTCGAAAACTCGACCTCATTAACACCGAGGTTGAAGTCAAGAATTGTCAAAAACTCGCGCTCCATAATATTAACCTCCGAAATGGGCATCGCAGTTAGAGATGCCCAAGTCTTGTTTGTAAAGGTACGGTCCTCCAAATACTTGTTGGCAAGAATCATTGCAACAGAGAACAGTCTGTATTCGGATCCAGATGTAGGGCAGACTCCTGGATATGCAAGTCGAAGGCGATGGATATATTTTAGAGCCAGCAGCAAAACCAAAGACGAAAGCCCGGTTTTTTTGAGTATATTGCAGATGAAGAGTTCAAATTCTCGGCTGTACCTTTTTCGCGGAATAGCAAGCTCTGAAGAGTTCTCCGGATTAGACCTCTCAGTTGCCATTGAAAGGGAGGCACTTTTTGTCAAATCAAGAAACTTGTTTGATGATGCAAGCAATAGTGGCATCACTGCTTGCGCGACCTTTGCCATTCGCATAAAGAATTCATCATCATGATAAGACCGAGATCGCCCCTTGAGAAACCAAGCGGAAGACCGGATTATAATGGTGGCATCATCTTCCATCAACCCTCCAAATAAAGAGGACGAAGCCAATGATGTGGACAGGCTGGAAAAGGACCCGACTATGGAAGGTGTCGATCGACATCCCTCTCCTGCTAACCTGCTTGAGGACCCCCGTAACGGTGGATGTACCAATACGGCTGATTTTGGCGAAGGCGAGGTTAGAAGGATGTCAATAGCCGAAGCCGGGCTTGAAATAGAATTGCTATGGATTCCCCTATGGTGGAAGATATTATGGTGGTTTTGGTGATGATGATGATGATGGCAATGGTCCCTGGAGTCATCATTGTTGGGCATAATTTCCTCGAAGGAGCCGCTGGTCGTCACGTCGATTCTGTCCTTACGAGTAAATAGGCTCGACTTCATTCATTCAAAAAAATTCAAGTGAAACGAAAGAACTTTTGATGCCATCTTCAGAGGCGGAAATGACGCTAAGTGGGTCGATCATTTTCCAATACAATTAGTTGAAATTTTTCATTCGTCAATTGTCCATTTTTGATCCATTGGTTAAATGTTGAAATTTAAATTTATCGTAAATTTGAAACTTCGCATCTTGCACGGTAGCGTATAAATTCAATGGGGTTTCCCAACTTTTCTTTGACAAAGGTAGGTAGTTTGTGGATGATGACGATTGAATATTTGCTACTTCATATTGTTTGTGATGACTAAAACCATATCACCAAGATCTTTGACACACTAACTCTACTAGGTATGATGATGATCAATGCTCATTTATGATGTACTTTATTTATATTTGCTACTCCTACTGTCGCTGCTGATATTTAACCTCACTGAAGTGAACATGTAACATTTTAGATGTTTGGATCGGCTCTCATTTTAACTTTTCAAGCGTTGGCAAGGTGATTGTGGCTATTTTCCGTTCCAATTCTATAGAAAATAAACGATAAACCGAGTATTATACCTTTCAGGGATGATCCGAGAGTAAGGAATGTGTCCGTCTTTATTCGCAATGAGTGCAATTCTTGCAAAATGCTGAATGCTGACAAGTAGAGGTCGACATTTCGTTTAACCACAGACTTTAGGATTGAGATGTTCGCGTCAATATCCTCATCCAAGTGTAAAAGATCGGCCGTAATTTCTCTCATCGACGCAGAAGAGTATTCTGTGACGATAAAGCCTGTCGGATCAAATGAGGTTTGCGACATCGCACCGGGGTTGGATCTGAAATTCTGGGAACGGGGATGTGGAGTGGCAACAATTGACGACTCGATGAAGAGCGAGGAATTATTTTCAGGGTGCATTTGCTGCTGATTGTCTTCCTCTTCCTTGGTGGAACAAAAAGCCTCCACAAGTCTCTCCTCGTCCTGCGTCCAATTTAAGCTAATTTCAACAAGAACAGCATCTTGATAGGATGACGAGGATGAAAAGGCCCTGGTGTCCTCTTCCAGCACGCTGGCATCATCGTTTTGGCCGAGAGTTTGCTCCCCATCGAAAGAAGACTTGGAGCCCCTTTTCGACGACCAGGAAATCCTCGACCTTCGAATGATGTTTTTCATAGCGACGCTGATTTTTGAAAATTATGATGACTCGGGTCTCGCACTTGGTGTGATCTCGAATTGATCCTTACATGCGCATCCAGTCAATCCTCTGGTAAACTTGCCTTTTGATAGACTTGTTAATCAATCTTCTGACAAATCTCTCCAGCAGACCGTGGCATGTCGTATGGATTGTAGGACACGATCGAGTTGTGTGTTTAACCCGTTGATCTCAAGGTACTTATTTGCTTTTTATTTCAATCTGAGAGGCAAGAAAGATGTCCTTCCAGTCTGGATTTGTTGTGAGAAAGGAAAGTGTCTCTGATGCCACATCACCTTGGATAATTATTTCGTCTTCGCCTGTGGGTCCTTTGGTGACAGAGCATCCACATGCAAAGCGGTGTGAAAGTGCCTTTGAAAGCTTCTTCATATCGACACCTATGAAAACAGACATTAATATCCACAAGAAACGTAAGCGAAAAGAGGAAAATAAATTCTACAATCACATACCAAAGGCAGCGACACCGGAAAGATGCGTTGCTAGTTTGTTTCCTATTTTCTTGGCTGTTTTTATGCGAACACGGAGATTTTCCAAGCGCTTACGCTCTTTCTCAATTTTTTGTGCCTCTTTTTTTGTCTGCTTTTCAATGTCAAAGGGGGCAGGAGCGAGAACCTCTTCGGATGAGGAGGAAATTCCTCCCTCAACGGGCACCTGCAGCTGATTTTGCTGAGCACACCGTAAGGGTGTCGGTCCAAACTCGCAATACTAAAGTAACCCATAAATCGACTGTACTTCAGTTGGAAAGGAACACACTATGGGTAGAGATGGTGAAATTCACATACATGAACAATAGAACGTAGACATTGGCCTGGCAGTCCGCAGATTTTAATTAAAATTTCATCTAATTTTTCAGCATATCGCCAAACCTTGATTTATTGGACACCTTGAAATGTCTTTAATGTCCCTGGTCTTATCTTGAGAATTCAAAGCGCTCATAAATGCACATTGTATTTTTTCTTTATTTTAGAGTCATATATAGCGTGGGAGAAAGTCCGAGTGCCATCAATTTTGCTTTCATTCTGAATTATGAAATTGCGAGATATAAGGACACAGTGGAAAAATATTGTGTCAAGTATAATTCAAAATTGAAGGATACGTCATATATTTTGATCATCCTGCAGATACCATCATCTAGCATAGTTTTTTCCACTTCAAAACAAATGGAGAAAAAATCATTAGCAGAGGCAAATAGATCTCCTTGCAAATCTTACAGGAAAATGAAAGTCAAGATTGAAGGAGCAACAAATCTTTTCGATAAAGGCCTCGAATTTCAAAAAATTCACAAGATTTTTTCTCTCGTACTGAAGATCTAGATCAGCTTGAAGCAAGCATTAGCGAAGCACTGGCTGTTGACATTCAATTTGCAAATACGAATATCCTGACGAAACTGATGTTATGACGAGGAATACAGAACGCATCTTCAGAATATGGAAAGAATCGGATTTTGAGCTTCGCGCCTATTATCTGGATGGTCTTGAAAATTCAGGATAGAGCCAATCAATACAGAAAAAATAGCGAGAAAGCGTAGAGAGCAGCAGATAAAGAATCTGGAGACCTTTTTAGCTCTTTTAACTAGATTTTAAGGATATCTCGGTCTTTTCAAATACTTTCAAGTTGATTGAGGCGCTTCTTTCTGACCTTACGTTTGGGCATACTATTTCAGAGAATATGCGGCAATTTATTCGAGGTTTTGGTTATGCCTATGGAAACTTTATGAAAAGGAAAGTCGCCGCTACAGAACTACTAAATGAAATCAATGCTAACGCGAGGTTATCGGAGCAATTCTACAGAGGCTCCGTCTGCCAGATTATCAAGATTATACGTGGCATCCTTGCCAAAGTCATAATGCCTTTCATTCAGCATTTCGCCATCTTAATGGCGATCATTTTAATTGTGCCTTTTACCGTGGTTTTTATTGCCTTCATGGCAGTAAATT